TTCTATGCCCGATTTTCAATACCAACATATTATTATTATATTCTTAACTAAAATATCATATTAAGTATATCAGAATTTAACTATATAAATAATACTATTGTTAGCGCTCTAATGATGTTATCGCGCACTATTTCGTCTATATAACATTATCTTTTTATCTTGTTTTATTATATTGTACGTGTGATGATTTTTGTATTATATAATATGGTCAGTCGCGCATCGAAAGTTGTACCGAGCACAGCGAGCGACCATACAACTATTCTAAAGTGCAAATTAAAGAATAATACAGTCCACTTAAACGGTAAATCTTTTTATTCAACATTTGGTCCATTCGAACCGGACGAGAAACATTATATAGTTTGTATTTACTTTTAGTGCTTCGGTTAAAAGTTAAGTCATCACGTGTGCGCGTTTTTTAAATAGGCATAATACAATTTATGGCCTTGTCGAAAAATACATTCACACGTGAGCATCGTTTTCGTATAAAATATTAAAATAACATATCTTTAAAAATATATATATATATATATATTATTTAAATCGTATAAATATCAAATTATATTCGTGTGTGCGTTTCTTTTTTTTCCTTGGTTTTATGAGCATAATATAATTTATAGCTCTGTTGAAAGAATATACTTTTGAATATATTCTTACGAATATATGCACTACTAAAAAATACAATATTGCGATCACCAAATATTGTATTTTTGCGTGTGTTTGGTCAAGAACATTGAAGAGTCAAGGTCATCTTATTTGAAGACAGATTTAAGGTAAGAGAGTCTCAATTTGCTAGTATTTTTAAAATGCGTTTGTAAAATTCCCAAAGTTCCCTTCCTAACTCACGAAGCGAGTGTGATCGGCCGCGTCATATACAATATCATAAGTCTGAGCCTAAAATAAATGCGATAAATTACACTCGAACGGTTACAATATTATTCCAGCGTATATAAAGTAAACGCTTAAGACATTCGAAAGCGTATAGGTAAATCGTTAAAGGCTTATCGGTAAATTTCGACCGTCGTAATCTCATTGGAAATCGGCAAATAGACCGCAAATTAAATACAATTACGTCTTATTGCGTTATAGCATATTTTTATTAGCCTACACATCATAAATTATCAATTGTCGATTATCGCGTATTTATTATATTAATTTATAACGAAAAATGGTAAGTAACCTGATATCAAGGCGAGGACAACTTAAAGGTAACTTAACACGGTTTTGGAACTATGTGTCTGCTACGGACAATGATCCTAGACAAATCAGCATGCGAAGATCCAAGATCGAAGATGTGTGGGAGGAGTTTCACCAGATACAATCGGAGATTCAAGCGGAAGAAGATGCAGGCGAACATGAAGGATATCAACTAGAATTCGAAGAATTATATTTTAAGGCTATTGCTAAAGCGGAAGAAAGACTTCAACAATTAGAGGTAAAAGAAAGTTCGTCGATCGAGACGCAGGTAGAAAAAGAAAAAATTAGCGCGAAAGAGACAAACAATGCCGTACCGCTAATGAAATTAGCAGCATTAAATGTACCCATATTCTCAGGTGTATATGCCGAATGGGCTCCGTTCTATGATATGTACACCGCATTAATTCATAATAATAATAGTTTAACAACAATACAAAAGTTCTTTTATCTACGTTCTTCGTTATCTGACGACGCGGCGAATTGCGTCAAAAACCTAGAGACCACTGCTAATAACTATGAACACGCGTGGAACAGTTTGGTTACGAGGTACAATAATAAAAAATTATTAGTACAAACGCACGTAAAAGGTATTTGTGATTTACCTACATGAAAGTGAGTTCCTCCGCGAGCTTACGACAATTTTCGGATAGTTTACGCGGTCATAATATATCGGCATTAAGAGCATTGAAACAACGTCCGTCAGAGTGGGGACCGTTATTGACGCATATTATATGTACCAAATTAGATGCTGTCACTATTAGCGATTGGGAGACGAAATGTGCAAGGGATGAGATTAAAGAAGTCGACGAATTAATCGAATTTTTAGAAGCACGCTTTCACGTACTAGAAGCAGTCGAGTCGTCTAAAAAAATCTCCAATATTTCCAAAAATAGTACTGAAATTAATTATACAAGTCGAAAAGGTCAGTACACAAAAAACACCACATCATCCGCATCGTTTGTAAACACCTCAGAATTAACCCATTAGTCCCCAACGTTGCGTAAACGCAACATTTATAAAATTGGTTTTTTTTTTAGTATGTTATTGAACAAAATTATTTTTAGCTATCACAAATTACTCTCAACAGGACATTAATTACAGTTTTTATGAAATAATTCGATATTTTTAAAAAGTTTAATTTCTGAGTATTTATAAACTATTAAGAATTTTGGAATTTCCTATAACATATTTTCGTCGATTTTTTTTCTCAACTCATAATAAAATTGGATTTCCCTTATTATCAATTTACATTTACAAAGTCTTAAGTAAAATAAAAATAATATCATATTTAACTTTATATTTATAGTTTGTAAATAACTGGCTGGTTTTTTTATTGTTGCGTCTACGCAACGTTGGGATTCCTAGTGTGACTATATAATCGCTAATGTGTCATGTCTTCAGAGGCACGTGTAGCAAAAGTGTTTCAGTTTATTTTGATAATTCGTAGTGAATAGTTGAATGAGTAAGTAATAAAATAACTGTGTCGATTAGTGAAGTGCAGTCTTAAAAAATATTGAATCGAAGTAAGTGTATTACGCAATTTATTTATTTACTATACTTTTTTCCTAAAATAATTTGTAGTGATATATATTTGTATTTATAGTGATGTCTTGGAAAAACGAAAGACCTCTGTCAACTGCTGAACTCTTAGCCATATTAGAAGAAGATGAGGATTTATTTCAGACTGATTCCGTTGATGCCGTGTATATTCCGCCACCTGTAGACGAAGTTACAGACGAAGAAGAGCTTGATGACGACTTACGTGAAAATGTGATAAATTTACCAGATGTCGCGGGAACTTATGAAATACATGCAAGTTTACCTAATTCTTCTGAAGATTTGGACAGTGAATTATTACCATCAAGTTCAATAAAATCAAAGGTTAGTAAAAAAAACATAAATAAGTCAAAGACAGCTCTTCCAAAGTGGAAGAAAGAGGTTCCAGTGTATACAACAGCGCCACAGAATAAAGAAAAAATAAATTTGGAAGACATTGAAAATAGAATTGGTGGTAAAACTCCTTTTGAAGTTTTTTCATTGTATTTCAGTGACGATGTTTGGGAAAAAATAATTTCTTATACAAAAAAATATGCTTGTGATAAAAATCGGCATTCATTTATAATTGACAAAACTAGCCTAAAGCGTTTTTTTGGTATACTTATTTTTTCGGGGTATCATACGTTACCAGCTACAAAACTATATTGGTCTAAAGACGAGGATAAAGGAATACCATTAGTTAGAAACAGTATGAGTAGGAACAGATTCGATTCCATAAAGCAAAACTTACATTTATCAGATAACGACCAACTCGATAAAAATGACAGATTTTCAAAACTAAGACCTCTTTTTGATTTAATAAATGAAAAAAATATGCAGTTTGGAGTATTTTCTCATAACCTATCAATCGATGAGGAGATGGTGCCATATTTTGGACGACATAGTTGTAAGATGTTTATCAAGGGAAAACCAATCAGATTTGGCTTCAAATTATGGTGTCTCTGTAGTTCCAATGGTTACTTATACAAATGTATACCTTATGGTGGGAAAACAAGCACTTATAATAATGAATTAGGTTTAGGAGCAAATGTTGTACTAGAGCTATTGTCAGTTGTTCAGCACCCATCTCTTCATCGCGTATTTTTTGACAATTTCTTTTCATCATACAAATTATTCTGTTTACTGAAAGAAAGAGGGTTTTACGCTACTGGAACAATACGTGAAAATCGTACATGTAATAACACGATAGAAACTGTAAAAAATTTGAAGAAAAAAGATCGTGGTACTTATGATTTTTCTTTTGAAAATAATCAAAAAATATTGTTGGTCAGATGGAACGACAATTCTGTGGTGACTGTTGTCACTAATAACAGTACTATTGAACCTCTTGTGGGCGCAAAACGGTACAACAGAAAAGAAAAAAAGGCTGTTTCAATTTCTCAACCAAAAGTTATAGCTGAGTATAATCAACATATGGGAGGTGTTGATTTGCATGACAACGGAATATGTAATTACAGAATCAACGTAAAAGGAAAAAAAGTGGTGGTGGCCCCTCTTTGTAAATTTGATCGACAGTGTAATTGTAAATGCCTGGAAAGTACACAATTTAGCAAACAAATCAAAAATGTCACAGTTAGATTTTAAGTCTTACATAGCAGTCGCTCTTATGAAAATGAATGAACCAGCCCCTGAAAATAATATTCAAGACCAAGATACTTCGGGACCAAGTAACCAAATAAACTTGTCTTTCAATCCAAATTATGGGCGACCATCTAAAAGCGCATTACCCGTAGAAATTCGAGTTGATAATTTCGGTCACGTGATAGTAGAAGATAAAAATAAAGCAAGAAGACGATGTAGACAGTGTAAAAGCACCACTATATACAAGTGTGTCAAGTGTCAAGTGCATCTTCACGCAAACTGCTTTGAAAAATTTCACACTAAATAATAATTATAATAACATTGGTAATCCTAACGTTGCGTATACGCAACATTTTGTTGTAAAAAAACTAAAAAGCTATAATTTTTTTTCACTATATAAATTGTTATTTGAGTATATACTAAGAAATAAAGTGCAGTAAAAACATAAAATTAGTTTTTTTTCCTTACCTCGGGGATTAATGGGTTAAAATGTTATATGTGTCAACTATCGCACACTATCTATAAATGTCCGAAGCTTATCGAGCTGTCACCGATCGATCGAATAAAAAAGGTGAATGACCTCAATTTGTGCAATATATGTCTACGGCGGCACAACAAAAAAGTGTTTTGCGCGATATTGTCTAAAATGTGCTAAACCACATAATACAATGTTACACATAAACAACTACAAACATCAACAAGGTTCAACGACTGAAACACCGACGGCAAGTAACAAAACTGCAGCGGAAGAAACAGCCGTATCAAACACGGTGACCGCCCACGCCTTTGAGTCTGGTGAACAAGTATTGCTAGCTACAGTAGTAGCTCTAGCTGTGAGTCCCTACACAAAAACGACAACATGCCGAGCTTTATTAGACTCCGGGTCACAGAAAAACTTCATTACAGAAGAGATGGTACAGACATTACGTTTAAAAAAGATTAAAATTAAACACGTAATTAGCGGTATCGGGGAAATAGTACAACATGCGTCGTCGTCGGTATGGCTAAAAATAAAATCCCGCGTAAGCGACTACTCTGTGTATTTACCGATGATAGTGGTACCAAAGATTACGGGTCAATTACCTCCACAAAACATAAAAACAATATGTAATACTCCCGATAATATTGAATTGGCCGATCCACAGTTTAATACGCCCCAAAAAGTTGACATATTATTAGGCGCAACACATTTTTATGAATTTCTATGCGACGGACAAATACGCCCTTCGACAAACGGGCCGCTGTTCCAAGAAACAGTATTTGGATGGGTAGCTGCTGGATCAATATCGGAAAATAGTTTATCAAAAATGTACACATCGAACGCACTTTTTAGCACAGCCGATAGTGAGCCTACATTAGAGAACGTATTACAACGATTTTGGTCGATAGAAGACGTAAGCGACCCAACACCTTATACAATCGAGGAACGTACTTGTCAAGAACAGTTTAAAAATACCGTTAGTAGAAATGACGAAGGACGTTTTGTCGTACACCTACCGTTTCGGGACGATGCAACAAAACTGGGAAAATCGTACGAAATTGCTAAACGGCGTTTTTTAGCGATAGAACGTAAATTCCAGAAAGACAAGAAATTGAAGGAAGAATATTTTTCTTTTATGAAAGAGTATGAGTCATTAAATCATATGGAAAGGTTAGATAATAATGAATCCGAAAACGCAGATCAAACGTGTTATTTGCCTCACCACGCCGTAAGGAAGGACAGTAGCACGTCTACAAAATTGCGAGTGGTGTTCGACGCCTCTTGCAAAACAGACAATGGTATCAGTCTTAATGATGTGTTATTAAAGGGCCCCGTTATCCAAGACGAGTTATTATATATTATTTCGAGATTCCGTACTCATAACTATGTTCTAACGGCCGATATAGTTAAGATGTATCGGCAAATATTAATGACTAATAAACATCGCGATTATCAAAGGATATTATGGCGCACCGATCCTAATCAACCCATACAAATATATCGCCTAAACACAGTCACATACGGAACGGTACCCGCATCATATTTAGCCACAGGTTGTTTACATGAGTTGGCCGAAACGGTACGCGAACAATTTCCATACATTGCACCCATTATCAACCGCGATTTTTACATGGACGACCTATTGACCGGAGCCGACACGGAACAGGAAGTGATTAAAATACGCGACGGCTTGATCACAGTTATGAGTAGTGCCGGTCTAACGTTACGAAAATGGTCATCCAACGACACAAATTTAATCAATTCATTAAGTTTAACTAACGAAGATATAGAAATATCAAATAAATATGAACTCAATCATTCGTTAAAAAAAATATTAGGTTTATTTTGGGATGCTACGACGGATAAATTAAAATATAATGTGCGCGAAAGCAAAAAGATAGAGGGGATGCCCGTTACTAAACGTGAAATGTTGTCCGATATAGCCGCGATTTTCGACCCGTTGGGTTTAGTCGGTCCGTTGATAGTGCGAGCAAAAATAATATTACAATCGTTATGGCATGAGAAGATTGATTGGGACGAACCCGTTTCCGCGAATATACGAGAACAATGGTTTGAGTATCGAACGCAATTATCCGCGGTAAACAGTTTATCGATATCACGAAAGATTACGAACAATTTAAAACCATGTGTTATTGAGGTCCATGGATTTTCGGACGCTAGCACATCAGCGTATGGAGGCTGTTTATATTTAAGATGTACCGATGAGGCGGGTATTCATCATACTAATCTAATATGCGCAAAATCCAAGGTATCGCCTTTGAAAACATTATCATTACCGAGACTAGAACTTTGTGCAGCGCTATTGTTAACTCGCTTAGCGAATAAATTAATACCGAAGTTACAATTAAACATTAATCAGCAGTATTTTTGGACCGATTCAAAAATAGTATTAGCATGGATTGCCTCATCTTCGACGAAATGGAGAACGTTTGTTGCACATCGAGTATCTGAAATCCAAAATAAAACAACAATGAGCGAATGGAGGCACGTCAGTACATACGATAACCCGGCTGACGTAATATCGAGAGGTTGCTGTCCGTCTAAATTAATTAACTTAGATTTATGGTGGTCGGGTCCTAAAGGTTGCCATACACTTAACGGTCTACCGAGAGGTATACTGCGCAGGCATGCCTGTGGAGGTATAACGGAGCGTGTGGAATAGACCTGTGCAGTTTAACAACCTGTACAGGCGACCGGTGCAAGATCGAAAATCAATTTTTCGAGTGACACCGTACGGTGTACCTGTGCGTGTGTGCATGTACTCCGGTCGCCTGCGCAGGTCACGTCAGTTGTCATTCATAACGTTGTCGCCGTCGGTTGTCGCCGCATCGTGTAGTGATAATGTGATATCGTATTGGCACGTGTATAACATTACGCAAAATGGCACCACAGATTCTACTAAAAAAGTCCTTGAAGATTTTATTGAAATATATAATGAATCCATGCCTTGGCAAGTCAAAAAAAGAGTACCATGATCGAGACAAAAAGAAGCTGCTATAAATTGCTTATAGAAAACTCAGAGAAATTGAGCCGATGCGAAACAAATCAGTAGTTGTCGAAAATTATAATTAAGAAGCTCGTCAGAAAGGAAAAAGAGATATCAACGTGTCTGGGGATCGCGATGAAGTGTATCATGTAAAATTGTGGTACTACGATTTATTTGATTTCCTACATTCAATGCACTCAGGGAATCTTCATCCAACTTGATAGTGACGAAGATAGTTGTGAGGTTGGTAAATTTTTACATAAGTTTTTATTACAAATCTACAAACTATAAAACCAAAATAAAAACTAAATATTTAATTATAAAATATATAATATTTTTAATTTAATTTTAATATATATAATATGGTACTGTAAATAGAAATATTAGTTTTGTTTTTATTTTTAATTAAGTTGAATAGAACACATTACTATTTACTCCACTCATTAATAATAATAATAATAGTAATAATTAGCAAAAATAAATATAATAATAATAATAATAATAATAATAAGATAATTTAGTAATATAATTATCTTGCCATGGTACTGTTCCTCTTCATTAAAATAATTCATAAAATTTTCTCGGACAATCTTCGCGGTGTTCAAAAGTATTTCTGGTTTCTTCTTCCAAGTTTTCCATTGTACTATTCTGTGTATTATATCCTTCAGAAATTATATTCCACTCTCCGAATTTTCTCGATAGAAACATTCTGAGGTGCATAAGATCTTTGAGCGTTCAATTAAAAAGTTACGTAATACACAAGAAGCTTTTAACTACTTTATCGATATTTTCGGGTTCTAAATTTATATGAGTATAAAATATCCGAAATCGTGATGCCATTATTCCAAAAGCGTTTTCTACTACGCGTCTGGCGCGAGATAATCTGTAATTTAGAATTCTTTCATGCGATGTTAATTTGGCTTGCTAAACGGGGTTTTATCATATCGGGCGTAGGAAACGCATCGTCTGGTCACAAACACATATGGCAAATTTCGGCTGGTTCCTGTTAACGTTTCACTGCTACAATACGTAACTGAAACGAAGTACAACAG